ATGTCCTGCATATATTCAAAGCCATTTCTTTTTGTGTAAACATCTAGTTAATTCTGTTGAAAAAGTTGATGCAATATTTTTTAAGAAAGTAAGTGACAAGTTGTTTTGATTTTGATATTTGTATTCATTATTTAATTAATAATGTTTCTAATTAAAGATGTAAAGAAATGTAAATTATCCATTAATTTCATCTTATGAAGGTGAACTGGTTAATGTATTTGGTTTGAAAGCTTCTCAAAATCATAAAATTTCAAATATTTTATTGATCCAAAATTCAATTACCGAGAATGAAGATGATTATATTATTGAAAGTGATGATGAAGAACAACAAATATATGAAACTGATTTTGTTTATTTATGCGAAATATTAGATAAGGTAATTAAATTTTATATACAGGTGCATTTTTAGTATTTATTAATGTCAAAACGAATTTTTTAGGCCAAAGAATTGTTAAAAGAATCATATAACAAACCAAAACGACATCTCTGGTTAAAATATATTCGCAAAAATTTCAGATTGTTGAAAAAGATGAATAATAATATTATAGCACCAAAAACATGGAAAACTTTAACAAAAATACAATGTATTGGGAATAAATAAAATAAATAATGACAATAAATAAAATTTTGCGATTTTCTTAAAAACTTAATATTTTTATTTATTTATTCGGTTATTTATCGAAGTATTTTACTAATAATAAAAATCGTGACAAATTAACCGGAAATCAGTTTCCGAAATCACATGTTACCCAGCAAAACTAACCGGCTACCATTTTTTCTAGGCGACGCTAGGGTGATTACTAAATAACCATGTTTTAATTAGTAAAAGAATTATTTGTATAAATTAACAATGTATTTTTTTATTTAATTATATTAATAAATTAAATTTTTGTAATTTTTAAAAAAAAGAAATAATGTCGCAGAATGTCGCGCCACTATATTTAAAAAAAATGTAAAATCAAACGCAAAAAAAAAAAATATTTTTATTAAGAAGCTTTATAAATTGCCATGCTATAATAGTTAAAATCATAATACTTAGGCTAAATAAAAGCTTTCTTAACCGTTAAATTATTTTACTATTGACCCGTCGGTCAACCAATTAGTTAATTCGGTCGGTTAAACAATTGTGACGTCATCGTGAAAATTTTATTAAAAGAGATTGATTCATTAAAAATAATCCTAGAATCATAATGAACAACAACACGCTATTTTGTTTAAATCGTAATAAAATTTTCACAATACATCATATCAAATGTTCGAAAAGGGTGTTATATTTGTACCTATTTAAACACTTACAACTTTTACGGTTTTTAAACTTTGCAAAATAAACTCTAAACTCTTCATTTTTACTATAAACGGATATTACTCATTTTTGTTTCTTCGTTATCCGTGTGTATGTATTTTGTTTATGATTTGTAATGAATCGTCTTTTATAATGATTTTTTTGTCTATCAACAATGGTGCAATCGTTGGAAGCAAATAACCTTTTGATAATAGCATTCGGATCAAATATAAGTAAAAGTATGCTCGAAAATTAAATTGTGAAAAGAACCGTTCTCATATTTTTTTTCCTTAATTATTTATTTGCAAAATAATTATTTGCGGGAAAAGATATGCCTGGATTTTGAATTACCAAATATAAGTGTATACTTACAAGCAAATTGCGATAAATCGAAATAAGGTTAAATAATGATTTCGTTTGAATACTATTTTTCTTTCTCGAATGTTTAATTATAAAATATGTAGATATATGTTGCGCAATGGAAAGGTCCGAAAATTTGAAATTTTAAATCTCAGGCACCATCAGTATTATTTATACAAATATAATTAATCATTATTATCAATTTAATTATGAATATAGTATTTACCGGTTCTATTTTTTTTTTTTTTTTGATTTGCTTGGTTTAATTTCTTCCTTTTCTTTGGAATCTTAAGTGACAATAATAAATCACCAGTTATATTCAGATCATGATTTTTTTCAGGTGATTTGTTCAAGTTATAATTGAATTGAAACTTTCCGGAAGATCAGAAGGCGCTGCATCATTTTCAATTCATTGAATTACTATTTAATTCGGCTTATATCAAGACTAGGAAACGGGAACCGTTGTTGAGTCCGGAGCGATCTTGACACTTTCCAAAATCGGAGATTTTATCGGTATAAGATCACGTGTGAAGATCACGTGGGCGGACAGAGAACGCAATAATCACGTGACCGAAAATTTTTCATAGCGCATAGACGTATATTGTCCTCCGCTTCGCTCCGGACAACAATTATACTCGATGAAAATTTATGTATTAACATATATCTTATTTATTATTTTGTGCACCATGAGCTCTTTGCAGTAGAAAGTGAGGAAACTCTAAAAAAATTTTTAAGTTAATGTTAAATCTGAATTTATTTTATTAAACATAGTAAGTAAAATTTAATTTTTTTTTTTTGTTGTTTCCACCCTTTATACTGCAAAACGTCCATATGTTGAAAGGCCAAACATAACGATAAAAGCGAGATCCTTATGTAAAAAAGACACATTTGAATATATAGGTCATAATAAGGATTGGAATCGATTCGAAAAAAGTAGAATCGATTACGATTAATTGTTTCTTGAGTTTAAGAGATAAAATATTGGGTCGTTTGCAAGTTACTAGACAAAGTAAATCATAATAGAAAACCTCCCCAAATGTTTTACAAATATCTTTTTAACGAATGGTTATCAATTAAGATTTTATTAAGAAATTAAGAATTAAAAAGAAAAATTGCCTCATTCAGCGCTTTGTAATAGGCCTTAAGAGAAGATATTCAAACTAAATCAAAGACGAAGTCTATTTATATGATACTGTTGTATACAGTAATTTCGTTTACGTATTTATAAACGATTTTGTAATGTAAGCAGAAGGTTTTTATTGAATAAAAATGAAGTATTGTGACGCCAAATTTATTTAATAATATCAAATTAATCAGTGTTGCCTCAACGTCGGCGTTCTACACTATCGCAATGTCAATATATTAAACTAAGTAAAGCCAATCAATAAACTCCAATTAATTAAAGCTACGCAATTACAAAAATTGGATAATAAAACAATAAGAAAATCGGAAATTAAAAAAAAAAATAACGAAGTTGCAAATACGATATCTTTAAAGCGACGAAAGCGAAAAATCTCGCGAAGGGGTTAAAGGTATTCGAGGTGTACAATATGTATGCAAAATATAATAAGGGCGAGCGTGGAATATTGAATTGTTAAGGATTTCCGGCTTGTATATATAAAAAGCAATAATTATTAGGCCCTGGGCATCCTTACAGGCGAAATTATGGAGTTTTCGGGTGAAATTATAAGTCCGGGCGCAGTCATGCCAAAGTTATTTTTTCGATATTTTTTTTTTTTTTTTTGTATTTTACTCTTCGGCTTCCATTGCCTCAAGGTGCAGCGATCTTATGATTATTTTCAAGTTTATTATTTTTAATATGGTTTGGTTCTTTTTTGTTCCTCACCTCTTTCGGGTGTAAACTCTTCGGAAAGATGAATTTTTACTTTTCAAAGTTTTTTAAAATTTTTTAATCATCTTTTTTTTTCGGGTTCGTTACAAATAGGTAAGAGTTTTTCATTTGATTCAATTTTTCTTTTTTCATTACTTTACACTTTTTTTTTTATTTTTTAGGTTAAACAAATATTTCAAGTTCGATCGCGGTGATCGAACATTTTTATCCTCCCGCATTAACTTTATTCTTCTATTATTAGGTTTTTTATTTTTTTTTATTTATATTTATAAGATTAATCGCTTTGCGATTGAATTATGAATGTTATGATGGCGGTGGTGGATCGCCTCGAATTCGATTAATTCGATTTTGGTAGATTCAATCCAAGATTTTACTAGCCGGGACTTTACAAGGAATTGTAGAAAAATGTACTTGCTTAATTCATGAAATATTTATATTTTTTTTCTAAGGTTCTGCACTTTAAAAACAGAAATTTTATTGAAAAAAAAGACACTCTAGGGGTGCAAAGTCTTAGGGGACGGGATTATCCTCTTGATAATTTCTCTCAAGCACGAGATAATTTTTTTTTTTTAAAAAAAAAAAAAAATACAGAAATTACCCACTTGCATAAATTTTTTTAAAAAAAAACATCATAAATTGCCGTCTCCGATGCTTCTTTTAAATAAATTTCTTTTAAAGAATCAACTTTCGGAAGATTCTTTTAGATAAATTGTAAAAAAAAAAAAAAATATATTGTATATAAGATTACTCTAAAGTTTATCTTTTATAAATTTTCAAAAAATCAAAAATCACCTTTGGATGCTTCACTTTGATTAAATTTTAAAATAAATCAAAAAAAAATTGTCAAAAGTTTCTCAAAATTTTTTAAAAAAATAAAAAGATAACTTCTGCTAAATATGCCGCAGTAGCCTTTTAAACATAACAAATGGGCGCAAATCTAAAAAAAAAAAAAATTTTTTTTTACATTTTCTTAATGTGAAGTTGGGACTTATTGAACCAAGTAAAAAATCATATTTAGAGTTACTACTTTCAAAATGCCCCAATTTTTCTAATTATATCCGATTAAAGCAAAAAATACGGTTCATTGCATAATTTTGCATATTGTTCTTTGGCTAAAATTTTTCAAATTCTTTTTTAAGAAAAAAAAAAAAAAAATTAATATTCCACAAACAATATTTTATTTATCACAATCATAATAAATAATAATTAAATCTTTTCAATGACAAAAAATTCCTTGTGAAAAAAAAATAGCAATTAATCAACAAATCTGTTGAAAATTAAAATTAACTATTAAAAAAAAAAAGGGATCATTAATTTTGCGAACAGTTACAGAATGATTCGGGAAGAAGTCCCCATCTCTAATAATATTATTGCAAGAATGAGAAAAAGTATATTATAAATTCATTAATGTTACACCACCTTTCTAATAAGGAGATTCTTTTTGAAATTGTTTTTTACGACCCTGTTACACAAAACAGATGAAATTTTTTGATAAACAAGGGAAAAATGAATAAATTGCCACAACAACAACTAGCGGTTGGTCACTAATTAGGATGACAAATATTTTATCGTTTCAATTTAAATATGCGATCTACTATAAAACAGATAAATCAAGCGAAAACGTGAAAAATCCGAAGTTAAAAATCATCCATTCTTGATTGGTCGCGCTATTTTGGTTGACTCGTTTCAAATTATACCGGAATCTCATCTGTATAACAGATAATATAAAAACGTTATTATATTCAATCGAAAAAAGGCAAGAATGGATCAACAACGTCAAAATCAACCTTTAACGATTGGTCGGGATGATATATGTTTATCGTTTCAAATATGTGACACCGATTATCTGTATAAACATTAATTCAAAAAAAAAAAAAAAATTAGATGTTGTGCTGAAACTTTGAAGGAAGGAAATTTAGTACACTACATGATGCAAATAAATATTTAATATCACGATGAAACTTTGAGGGGGAGAAATTTAACACACACTACATAATGTAAAACTCAAAAAAGGTTTAATGACTTGTCAACCAAAAAGGTATTTATACCCTCTGAGAATTTTTGGTTTTGAAGAACAAGAAATCAACTTTTCATTCTAATTATCAATCCCTTATAAGAAGCAGTGCTTCGAATAACTAAAAAATTTTACGAACATACAAACAAATATTGTAAATATATACTTACGTATAATTACAAATCTCGTTCACATATTTATAAAAAAAAAAAACAACAGAAACATTTTTACAAGATGTATCAATCCAAAAAATCTCTCAGTTTCAGCCAAATCGTTTTCGTTCTCGCATTTTTGATCGGACTCGTGTCCCAAGTTTCAGCTCATGGTATTTTTCTTGCTCCACCGATGAGACTCGCACATGAGAAAGACAATGCCAAAAAAATCATGCTGGCCAACAACCCAACTACGGAGATGCCATGCGGTGCTGGTGGTAACGGAACTGGTCCAGTCACAACATACATGCCTGGTGAAGAAATGTTAATCGCATATAATGTCACCATTCCTCACCCTGGACCTTGTAAAATTGAATTTTCCAAGAAAGATGATAAACACTTCATGCCTATCATGGAATTAGGCGAATGTGGTGCACAGACTGGTCTAGTAACCTCATTTGTTACTTTACCACACGAGCCCTGTGAAGAATGTACAATCAGATTCAGTTGGAATGATGACCTTGGAAACTGGTATTTGAATTGCGCCAATATCCAAATTGTAGATCCTATGCCCATGCACAAACGAAGACGCAGCTCAACGAGAAAATCAAGAAGAAATAATTAAAGTTTTTTTTAAAAAAACAATTGCTTTTTTTTTTTTGTCATTATTTCTTACACTTATACATATCTATACATTTCAATTTATCTCCTGTATATTATAAAGGATTGTTTGAGGAACCCTAGATTAATATAATACTTGTAAAATTAGTTTTTTTTTTTTTATTTATTTTTTTCGTTTTAGGTTTCTTTTTTTCTTTTTTTCAGTTTTTCATAGATCAAAACCGGTGATGATCATCACCGCAGAACCTTCAACAAAGAAATTTTAGTTTTATCAATATTTGTTTCTATATCAAGTAAGGTAGAATGAAGATCGGTTATTAATATATGGCAGCGCCGAATTTTGTATCGATAACCATTTGACACACATTAATAAAAATCCCAAATATACTTTAAAAAGATAATTCAGTAAATACAATATTAATTTTTCTAATGATAACCAATGACTTTATTTTACAATAAAAAAAAAAATAAAATTTAAAAAAGAAATTCATATTGTTAATCATCATTGACCAATGAAATTGATGCATCAATGATCGCTTTATGTACCCAAAGAAGTAAAAGTAACCGAAAATATTTCGAAATTGAACTTTCTCGTAACACAAAAGGTGTTGTTATGTTTCAAAAGATGCAGCAAGAAAAAGACATTTAACAAAGTTATTGGCAGTGCCACATCGGAAAAAAAAATAAGCATAATCTTCCGGATGGGATTTACCGGATACTTTTTGCTTAGTAATACAGTTGCAATAATTGCTTAGTAAGGCCATGCAACTTCGATTTTTCGGTTCACGTCAACCCGGCCGGGTCACTTTTTCAATTTTTAACAAAAAAAAGTTTATAAATAAAAAGTTTATCATGTGACTACAAAGTGTAATTTTATTGGTAGATTAAAGTTTTATTGTATTATCGTTATGTATAGTTCCTTTCTTACAACTCATTAGTTTCATGCAGCTTCCCAGGCAATACATTGTGCTGAAATATTTTCTCAAACTAATTTTTTTGATTGGCTAAATTTCACTTCCCGCCAGTCAGGTGATAAATATAGATTCGATATATTCCAAAAAAATCTTTTAAGTTTCTTTCACAACAGGTAAACCTTCACATTCCTTCACTTTAGATTCTTGCATGTATAATAGGCATTTTGACGGAGTTAAGATGATTTTGAAATGAAATGTGATTGTCGTATGATTAGGCCAGGCAAAGAAAATTTTTAGATAAAATTTTAAAATTGACACGATCACCCGGTTTTTTTATGTATTGTTATTTTACCGCTTTCTTTTAAACAAAATCTGGCCGGGTCACAGTATCTTTGTCACGGCCTTGTCCCCTTAAATATTGACCAATCAGATGTCATAATATTTATATATAAACTTTTTTTAGTAATAAAAAATATTCATTAATAAACTCCAAGTCTCCGGGTCGATTTAAATTTCAGTGTTACGTGAACCGAAAAAATCAAAGTTGCATGGCCTAATGCTTGTCAGAGAAAAATCATTCATACAAGATCAAAATCGAAAATCGTAAACTACACCATTCCTTTCATGTATTTATCTGCACACCAAGCAACTAAGAAACTTGAATATCGTCAGATACCACGAACTCAGCTCAGGTGTCAACTTCAAACGACCGAAACTTAAGACCTTATTGGAACGGACAAGTCGCGGAATGGTCTCGGAAATTTTGCTTTCCCATCCTGGGTTAGAACACCATTCACATGGTACTCTCCAACAAAATGTACATGACATTGGACGTATTGTTCGTCATTGCAAATACATGGACAAATTAATATCACAAAAAAAACAAGTTTTAATAGGTCAACTTCCAAACGCAAATAAAAATAAAACTAAAAGCAGTGGAATGTATGAGGCGAAAAAATTTTTCATTTGAAATATGAAATACATAGAAAAGCAGTTTCATTTTTCACTCGTGAATTTGATGCTATCATCATTACTCCTTTTGAAGTGTCAAATTTGACAAATAGAAAAACAAGAAAAATTACACGAAAAACAGTTCGGCAAATGCTTGGTTGGGCACATTATCGATTTTCAAACTTCTAGTAGCCAAAGCAGAAGAATTGGGAGTTCATATCATTATTCAAAATGAAGCTTATACCTCTAAAGCTTGTAACTGGTGTAGAAAAATTCAAAAAATTGGAGGGTCCGAGGTGTAACTGTAATGGATCGAGATGAAAATGGCGCTCGGGGAATCTTTCTCCGGGCTTATGCTTGATGGAGCCTTGATTCTATCCGGAGATCATGCAGGAAATAGTAGTTATTATTGATGTATTGCAAATCCATCCGTAATATAAAGAGCGTTAATTAAATAATTTTTTAACCAATAAATTTACAAAGATTTTTCTAAAAATTAAATCCGATCCGATCGATTATAAGATTGCTCCGATATTATTAATTAACATTATTGTATTTTATTTGGCATCCATGGAATAAATAATTTGGAAAGAAATCAATTAATTTATCAGTTTAAAATATTTAATTTTAAGAATATTATATTTTACAAATATTTTGTACAAGAAAAAATAAAAATAAAAATAAAATTCGAACATTTGCTGCGGCCCACAACGAGTCCAAATTTAGGGAACAGCATAAATGATAATCTATTTTTTTTTCTTTTCATGTAACACATATGTAACACAAAATGTAACCGAAATTTTATTCATGTGATTTAATAACACAAAATTTTATTGGACGATCAGTGGACAGATAGACGACATCCGGACAATGATCACAAATGTAAAAAAAAAAAGGAAAGGAAACAAAGCCTTATTATACCGAAAAATATTATCTGTTGCTACAGCCCGATGTTATTTACCAAAAGTCGAAAAATGCCCAAAATTTTAAAAAAAAATTATCTAATACGTGAATAACAGGTAAGTATATAAAATCACGTGTCCGATGATTTTTAATTTCACTAGGAATACTAGTGACCTGTGTAAACAAGGCAATCTTTGCCATGTGTCAAGCTTAGAATAATCATAAAAAGTGTTGACGAAATTAATTTCGAAATAAAGTTTAGTTGTTTTCCTTGGTTGTATGGCTTAACTCGTTCATTAAAAGATTATGTTAATTATGTTTTGTTAAATTTTAATATTAGGATCTAATACAACGGAAATTGTATGCATTGCAGTAGAAATTATTTTTCTACGTGAATTAAAATTATTCAATTACATATTAAGGATGGCTTTGAAAGATGTGTGATTCACCAATAGTAAGAGGAAGGATTAAGTAGCTATTGAGAATAACCTATTGTAAATACGGATTTATCGGAATATTAATAAGATTAATACTTGCATCCAATCTTCTTTTGTTGGATAAATAATTTTCCCTATAAAAAATTTGATCCGAATATTTCCATAAAGATTTTCGTAATTTCCGCAAAAGCTCCGACGAACCTGAAACATGATCGGCGGGGAAAATCTAAATAGGTCGAATAATTTCAATTTCTTTTTATTGTGTTTTTATGAAATTTAGTAATCATTTTTAAATCTGCATCATTCTTCCAAGTTTCTATATATTGTTCTAGAAATAAGTGTCTAGAACAAGAAATTCCGATTTGTCTTAACAATAAATTTAATAAGTTCCTACATTACAATTGGCCCCATATCAATTGTCAGAAAATGGACACTTTTTAATTTTTACCATTACACCCTTTTATGTCTACTATGGTAGTTCAAAATATCAATTTAAAAATAATTTTGTGTTAAGAACAATTCAAATAAGAATAATAAAAATTATCAGTTATTGTGTCAGTCATTCAGAACTATTTAAGATTATGTTAAATATAGATACTTTCGTTGTTGTATAAAATATCGGTTCGCATAATTCTTGATAAAATATAAAGAAAACTAAGTTGCATAAATGAATAATAATATAATGTAACGAACGAATAATAAGTTTAGAATGTGTTATAGTATGTAAGGAGTTTACAAAAATCGACATGAAACGCAAAATGATCAACGTGCATAATATACAAAAAAGAATATAACGACATTTAACACATTGATATTAAGGGATAATTTTAACAAAGGTTATGATTTTCGGGGTTTCTCAATGAACTTTCACGTGACATCTACATCAAAAAAGATAAAAAAAAAAATCTCAAGCATGATTATTACGCCTGACTGGATCTAGTTCATTGATAATTGCTCGATTTAGTGCTTTATCTTCTAAGAATGATAACGGTCGGTCATGATCGGTCAACGGTCGGTCAGAAGCTTTTGACCGACCGATATTCGTCACGGTCGTGACCGGTCAACACCGTAACCATTAGCATCCCTATTTCTAATCCTTCTAGTTTCTTATCGTTCGTAATTAGCAGCTCTAATGTATTGTATTGTTTATTTCAGTATATTTTAGTTAAAGAAAACCATGCTTAATAGTTTATTTATAGATTCAACAATCAATACACGTGACCTGATTACGTTCATCCAAAAAATTAATGAAATTCATATTTTGATATTCGTAAGAGTAGTAAATCTAATTATCTATGACAAGTAATTATAAGATTTATAAAAACGCAATAAAAATCGACAAATTCTGAGGTATTCAATATCTGGAAATATGAAATTATTTTTTTAGTTATTACAAGAAAAAGGTGATAACAGTAAAAAATTATCAATATAATTTTTTTTTTTTCACTTTCAACATCTCACGAATTATGATGTAAGTCATGTAGTGCAAAAAAACCGGATATAAAATGGTTATATCCGCAGTTATATAGTTTCGTCATCCCTTAAATGATATTGATAGTTGAGAATTAGATATATTTTATATATTTTTAAAGAAACTGATTTATTTTATAATTACAAATTTTGCAAGAAATATTTCACTTAAAATAATAATCAAAATTAATTGCTGCTACTCACCGTGTCTAAAAATATTTAATGAAAAAATAAAATCAAATAAAGAAATTTTTGAATGATCAAACCTAAAAAAAAAATCTTATCTATCGACCTAAAGTAATCTAAACTATAGAAAATCCTCTAAAAAAAAATTGTAAAATGTATTCAAAAAAACTATCGGCTTAACCAATTCAAGCTATAAAAAAAATTAAATATTGCCTAAAAAAATACATAGAAAATAAATAATTGAATTGAATGAAAGAAAGCTAAAAGAATAATTATATTAAAAATAAATTAAAAAAGCTACTGCTAGAAAAATAAAAATAAAAAAATAATTAAATGAATAAAAAAAGGAAAAAACCCAGTTAATTAAAAAATAAATGGAAAAATTAGCAAAAGGCAAAAAAATTATCGCAGCTGTCTATAACAATAGTTTTTGCCAACCAAAAAATAAGGTTAGTATTAGAATTAGAATAAAAATCAAATATATAAAAAAAAGATATTCTTAGATCATAAAGTTAAAATATTTGTTATAACTATTTAATTTGCTTTACTAAAATAATTCAATTTAGATTCGCAGAATACTTAGCTAATAATTTATCCATTATAGACATATTAACAAGTTCGAATGCCAATACCGATTTTACTGATATCCACGAACGTTTTACCGACACCACCAATTTACCGAAAATTAACTGCGTACTTAATGCCTAAAGAACAACAAACATTGGAAAATATTATTCGTGGAACATACTTGTCATCTCAGCTTAGGGTTATAGCGTTAGCGTCTATAAAACGTTATGCTGCTTGGTACAATAGGTTTTCTGTAGTATTGAGTAACCCTTAGGATAATCAAGGAACGGCAAACGGGCTTGGAATAGAGCTAAAGTGTCTGGTAAATAGGCTTTGTAACGATGGTTCAACATAGCCCTATGATAAAAAAGACGAATTGAAATTCAAAATCAAAAATTATACATCGAGACAAAAAATTTAATGTTTAATTATAACTGAACATTTACACTAATTACATAAATTTCTGAGTTTAAATATATATATATTAAGTTGTAAAGCTAAAACTTAGCTTTCTAATAAAAAAAATATTTATTAAATTCGGTTTTTGAACCGGTTAAAGAACAAAATAATTGCTTTTAACTCCGGCCGAAATTCAATTTTCGGCAGAATTAAGATTTGTATACCTCTGGCCAAATTTATAGTATTGACCTAAGTTAATTTTAACCGGTTTTTTTTTTAAAAAAAAATGACGCGGTAATGCATTTTTATTAAGTAAAATCCTACTTCTGTAAAAAAAATACAAGAAAAAGGTACAAGGGAAAAAAAATAAAATACTGCCTAAAACGTCCTTGTAAGCACATGACTTACTAAGTTAATTTAATCGGTAGGGTCAAAATTGCATAATTTTATTACTTAAATTACAGTATAATTAAAGGTTTGCATAGATTCCAAAATAAATTATCGGTAAAAGCAAAATGGCTTCGATGAAAAAGTATGTCAGTGAATTAGAGGTGTCGGTTAAAAAGTTCTCGGTTAATCATACTAGATGATATAAATCTCTCATTTCACTTGTACTTTAAAATTAAATATATTTCAAATGAATTATGTTCTACCCGATAAATTCTTTGAGTAATTAAGATTATTTTACTGTTCAATTGTAAAATGATAACACATCACGTTTTCATGATATTCTTTTAATATAACGAATATTTAAGAGGGTATATTGATATTTTTTTTTTTAAAAAATAATAAATAAAATAAATAATAATTGCAAAAAAATTAAAAATATGGTTATCATATCATAAGTTTAAACTAATAAATATTTTATTTAATTTTACCGGAAGGTTTTGGAACAATTTATTACATGTTGAAAAGATATAATATTTTCAGCGTTCTTATAAATATGCTTTATGATTTATGCCTACATGCTTTGTAATTATATCCTTTTTTTTGCTTAAGAAAGAATTTTATTTTTTTTGTTTATATTCTTACTTTTCAGTTTCAACCTTTTCGAATATTGCATTTGAATTAAAGTTAGGTCGATTTATTCATTTGAAATCTTATTATAAACTAGAATTTTCGCTGATTCAATACATGAAAAAGAAGTAATTTTGAAAATCAACCTAAAACTTATTGAGAGTTACGGTATTATAAAAGTATACATGAGTAGCGAAAATTAGAAATCTAAAGTTAATAATACATCTACTTATACTTATGTGTCAAAGTCATATAATGGAACGTCGTAGCCTGAAAGGTCATCTTCTTCATCTATATAAAATATTCTAATCTATAATATAATAAAATCAAATATACAGTATTTATTAATTAAAACTTACGAGATTTCGATGTATAATGTCATTATCATGCTCATGTAACCATAAAATAGCACTTGTCAATGTCGTTGGCAAATTTCCATAAACTTTTGGATTTAGCGTTGTCTTTAAAATTTTTCCTAATGTACCGCCATCCGCATAAGCGCATAAGTTAAATCATCTAAAAAAAAAATAAATAAGCAAAATAATAATCATTACTTCACTTTTTAATTTCGTAATTCCGTAAAATCTAATTATTGCATACGTCTTATGAAAATTATTGATCACTTTTAAATTAAAATAAATTAATTTCGTTTACTTATTATTAAATATGCAAATTCCATTCACTTATTATTAGAATACACAAAGTTTGGTTACTTCATTATTGAATACACAAATTTTGATCACTTTGTAAATCACTTTGTAATAAAGTAATCATATTATTTATAATTATGTTAGATTTAGATTAATAATTAGGTTATAACTTTGTGAAGAGATACTATGCGGAAGTTTAATTACAATATTGTTAATAATGCAAGATAAAGGATTTCGGTTATTAGTACTAGATAAATGCTTTCGATTTTTGTCATAAGAAGTAATCATTGGGGAATTAGGATGACAAGGTGGTTTAAAAGGTGCTGTTACTGAAGTCTTTACATTTCCTGATATATTGACTTGAATTTTGAATATTTTGTGTTGCAGAAGCTTGAACCTGAGTTTGAGTCATAGGAATTTGGATTTCTTGAACAGTAGATATAGACGAATCATTCTAAACCACAACTTTTATTAAATCTTTCAACAACTCGAAGCCACTTTGCAGTATTTTTTCAGTATTTGAAACTAGCGATACTTTTTGAAATTCGTTGATTTCCTTCTGTGTTGGAAGTTGAGAGGCTTTTGTAAAGTTCATAATTTCTTTATAAAGTTTTTGAAAAAACTGGAAAAATTTTAAAAGTTTGCAAAAAAAGCGAGAGAAAAAAGTGAAAAAAAAGTTTAAGTGATCAAAATATTTATATAAAAAAGGATCGGTGCTTACGTCATACATATTCAATAACCTTATTATCGGTCACGTTTGAATAATAATTTATTTACACATATAGGATGCTATTATATCATGTGGCCGAAGGCCACATGATAAAGTAGCAATCCTAGTGTGTAATCAAATTATCATCCACAACATGACTACTTATATTTGGATAAAAAAAAAAACATTATTTCTCGTAATTTGCATTAAATGAATCTAGAAAGAGTTTTTTTTAATCGAAAAAATTATACTTGTTAAATATCAAACCCCGCTTAAGATAATTTTTTTCGTAGTACTTCGACAAACTTTTTAATTACAAGTTTTGTTGTAGTTCTTTTACAATACGCAGCATAACTGAAGCATAAACTCCATTTTAGAAAAATTATTAAAATCTTGAGGTCATGATAAGGAATGTAACAGCCTTGAACCTTAAAAGAAAGAACCTCAAGGTCTTGTTTATTTCGTGCAGCTAATTTAATAAAGTTTGATCAATTCGGTGTTGTTATAATGTGCAATCATATTGTAGCGAATAAATACAATACCATTTATTTGGAAGAACATCTTTCTTTGCTTATATAACTAAAATTATTTTCAAAAGACGAAATGGTATGGCAATATTTTTATTCCGTGTATTTGTATAACTTCGAAATTGCTTTATATGCGTAAAAATGCTTGTGCTTTGTCTTTTAATAAAATAGCAAAATGGCGCATTCTCATACAGTTCAAGCAAATTTGAATTTCTTTAGCCCAATAAAAAAAGAAAATATTTCTATAAATCATGTGTTACCTCCAAAATTAAATATAATTACGTGTGTAACAAGAAATTTATCAAATGAGTATCTGGACCGAGAACGGCCTTATTAACCGGTCTGAGACTGGTGTTAGACCTGGAATCGTCTTAAACCAAGCTAACAAAACTAATAAACTCAACGACACAATTATCTCAAAGGCCTTTCCTAAGAGAAATTAACGATAAACAAATAAAACAATTTATTATCACGATTCACTT